AACCCGGGTCGTAGCGGTCGCAAACCAACGGTTTAGACCATCCTTCCACAGACCCCGCCCCTGGCATGTAATAAATAATTACAAATTTTACAATACGATTCAATTTGTGAAAGTGTCTTAGTTTGTGTCCTATAGGAAGAATACCATAAAATTCTATATCTCAAAGCTATTTCTCATCTGTTCAGACAGTGAAATTGATTAAACAAAATTGCATATATAAAATGAAAGGATTTAAAAGCACGAATGTTTCTTTTATCCATAATACAAACTTCTACTGTCCTTACTGCGACGAAAAAATATATTGGGAGGGCTTGGCTCATCTGTGGTGAACCCTCCCAGCGGTTTCGCCAATTTAATCCACTAGACCGCTTCTCAGAGCTCTAATACTGTAATCGTCCAATTATTAGAGCTCTGAGAAGCGGTTTGGTAGATTATATTGACGAAAGCGTTGGGAGGGCTCACCTCTGATGAGCCAAGTCCTCCCAATATATTTTTTCATGGCAGTAAGGACAGTAGAAGTTTGTATTATGGATAAAAGAAACATTCGTGTCTTAATGTTCTATTGTGTTATATATAGATGGCTTGTTATTGCTTTGTATTAAAACTGATAATGCCAGTATCCAATATTTCCCTGATTGCATAGAAGTCACATCTTTGGGACAATATGGATAATTTGCCATCAATTAATGACCTTAGTTTCTTTATAACTGGAAACATAAAGGCGAGGGATTAAAGTTTCTTTTTATCCCATTAACGTTAAAACACAAGTTTTCAATCTCTCGATCCTTTTACACCTGTTGAAAATTCAAAATATTTTATTGACACCAAGTTAATTTCTGTAAAAATAAACAATTCGGCCAGTTAGAGTTTTATTTTCTCAACCTTTCAATATAAATCTTTTGTTACGATGCACTAGCGCGCCATCTGTTATGAAAATTCTAAACTATTTTAGACGCGTAAGATTCATTTTGAAATTAAACAATTTCTACTGCCCTTATTGTTCAATTTCAAATTGCAGTAAGGGCAGTAGAAATTTTTTAATATCAAAATGAATCTTACGCGTCTGAAATAATTTAAAAATATTTTGTCTTCGTCAGGAGAAATAAATAAAAATAAAGCATTTGGCAAGGTGTTAAAAATTGAACAATTTTAACACTTTATCAAATGATTTATTTTTATTTATTTCTCCTGACGAAGACAAAAGATTTCTGTTGAAACGTTGACAAAATAAAACTCTAACTGGCCGAAGTGCCTATTTTCACAGAAATATGAATGCCGGCCAGGCAGCCTCTATCTTTAAGATAACCTAGTTAATTGCGACAATAACAAATGAGAAAGAAATTAACATCGATAAAAGAACCGATAGGTTCAAAATCTCTGTTTTTCACATTAATGGGATGAAACATAGACTTTTATCTTTCGTCTTTTTTCTTTACGTTATACACTTTAAGCATTGCGGTCTGTCTGCTCTCCACGGTCACCCCTGGGCTCAATACTATTGGACCCATCTCTGCCTCCCCCTGATCTCCGCGGATCACCACCCTGCCCCCCTCCTCTACATCCCGGCTCTCCTGGCCTCACCCGGCGATGATCCCCTGGCCACCCATCCCCAGGCCCCTCCAACAGTGCAATGTATATATTCCACTTTATGCGTCCATCGGGGCTCAAAAATCATTCATTCTGGTTAGCTGCCCCGTAAATAAAGATATTTACATTATACAATATAACTACATTATGAATAAATATTCACAATAAGGTCACAATTTATAATACAAGCTAATTCTAACATCTTCAATTCAAAAATTTACCTTGGTCCCTAGAATTTTAAGCCTTTTATTGTTGTTGTCGTGTCGAATGCTCTTCATTGTAAAATGGGTACCGTTGTTACATTAGTCACCTTGGAAATGAACCAGAATTTGGTAGAATATTCCAAGGGTCCAAGGGGGACCGCAGGGAGGTGTGGTCGGATTTCTTCCCCCAAGCCTTTTATTCATTTAGACATTTATTAATCAACCAGGTGCGATATTGAAATATTCGCACCCATTACAGAGGAAACAAACAAAACAACAAACAAATTAGAACTTAGATTTAAATATTTACAAATTTACATGTATTAATCGACAGAGTTGATAAAATGTATATAGACAAAGTGGCTGATGTAAGAGAGTTAAATCATTTAGATCAGGGAACAATCGATGTCTCACTTCTGTAAAGTTCGGACAGTCGTAGATAAAGTGAAGAGCAGTAAGCCTTTTATTAAAAAAAAAAAAAACGTTTTTAATTCGAAATTTTGGATAATTCGATTTTTTTTGTCCCTTGGGCTTCGAATTATCCAATTTCGACTGTATATGGGTAAATAGTGTCGGACATTAAACAATGATCTGGCAGGGGATAGTGGATAGGTCAATGCTCATCTCATCTCTAATACACGTGGTACAGGCCATGATAATCATGGTGGGTAGAGGTTGACAATGGGTAGGTCAATGTCGCACGTCAAACACAGCTGGGAGTAAACATATTTTCCTGAATAAAATTATTTTTATGATGGTACTCTGACTTCTGTAAAGCACATGTGCTCCTGGTCAGGATATGCTTTCTTTATTTTTTATATCAACACCTGACCTTTTTATTTTTATTTTTTTTATATATATATATTTTCATTTGTTAAGCGTATTTACGCAAGTTTGGCCTTAAATTCCCATTTCTTGGTTTTTCAGGAAGCCTCTGGGACCAAAAATATTTTTAGTCGCAGTGGTACAGCATTGATAAATACAACAATCCTGCCAGAACATTAAAATAATTTATGATGATTAATTATAAACGCCCCATAATTGGCTCAGGAAATATTCGCTGTAATTATGTTTGGTAATTGAGGGATTCATTTGCTACTGAACATGGTGAATTTAGAAGAGTGGATTATATTTGCGATCACATATAGCAAGAATGGATTCTAACATTTTTACATACTCCACGCTGACGAGCGCCAACAGTGCGAAACGCGTTCGTGGATGGCTTTTTCTTGATTTATTAAGAAATTGGGTTGGCCAAATATCAGGGAACAGGCTAAATCAATGTTTAGTTGATTTCTGTTCCACTAGATGGCGCTCTGCCTTCTGTAAAGTACATGTGCTCCTGGTCAGGATATGCTTTTTTATTTTTAAAATTATTTTTATATTTATAATTTTTTTTTTTTAGATTTCAATTTAAAGCGCTATAACTCCCTAGGGACACTTGTGCTGACATACATGTATGTTTCTACAGTTGTATATATACATATTTACAATAAATTTAAGCCGTAAAGAATAGTCATAAGATATTGTAACAAAGTATTTATTATTTTATTAACAGCGTATCATTTTTTATATTTATATTTTGCTACTTTGTAAACTTCCCTCATTACTTATCTTTTGTTTTATCATTCATAATTTGTATTTGCCTTAAATAAATTGCTGTGTCATCCTGAAGTTTGTCTTTCCTAATTTTCCACGTGGCAATATTAACAAGGAGAAAGAAAGAAAAAAAAAGAAACATTGTCATCAAATATTTACAACCAAAAATTAGTTCTCTCTCTCACACTTATCATAATTATTAAAAGAGGAGAGAAAAAAAAAAGATTTATAGATATATACATGGCATCTGCCCGGTAAGCGGAATACTGTGGGTTCGATTCCCATCCCTGGACACTTTTATTTTTTCCGTTTATCATTACTCTTCACAATTCACCCTTTCATACCTCATCCAAAAGGTTGGAAATAATCGTTATTTCTCCTTTAAATAAAATTATGATCTTTCTCGTTTAAAAGAAACACATGCGGGATAATTTTCAAATGTCGTTTTACAATCACAAGCCGCATTATATTAAATATATATATATATATATATATATATACTAGCGGATGTGTACCCGGCTTCGCCCGGGTTTTATCCGAGTGAAAGTTTGCCTAACGAATATTATATATTATGAAGTATAATAAACAATGTTAAAGATTAGTTTTAATTATTAATCAAGATTGTGTGTGAATATGTGAGAAAGATGTAATATCGTTGTTGTTTTCTTGGCCGACTGTTTTACATATGGTGTTATCTTAAAATTGCTTGTTTTGAATATTTTTTTAGATTGAGTTGAATGAATTGCTGAATTTTTTTTGTATTTAATCGATAACAGCGAAGTTACGCATGTTAAAGTTAGGAAACATATTTTGATGTTAAGCAAAACCTGCTCCATCTCGTTTTACATAAATGTTGAAAATTTGGTCGAAATTGATGCATTGTAACGAAAGTTTTTAGTGAACAACACTTATGAAATTTGCATTTTATTAATATAGATTTAAGATTTTATATAAACATTCTAAGGACAAATGAAATTCCTAAAACTTAATAAGAACAGCGAACTGTGTACAAAAGAAAGATTTCGGGAGCGTACGTACCGTGTCCTGAGTGGAAGAAAAGTGACAAGATCGGGTGATGTCGGCCGTTTTTACCCTCTGGGGAACTTTACTTTGTCCGTCCAGTTAGAGGAGATGGGAGCTTACCTTATTTCTAGTACACGTGGACATGATATTCATGGTAGGTAGTAATTAACGACTGATTTTACTGTAAGTACATTACATATCTGCATATCGTTTTGAAAATAGAGCAATCCATAAATAAATCTTTAAATAAAAAGGCATATATTGGATCAAAATATCATTTATTTTACCAATATTTCAGTTGGCTGAACGCTAATTCAAGGTATTATGTGGCGTTGAGTTTGTTGTTGACACACATTAGAATGTTATAATACCTTGATAAAGGTTGGCGTTCAGCCAACTGAAATATTGGCAAAATAAATGATATTTTGATCCAATATATGCCTTTTTATTTAAATATCTACATAGGTAAAAAGCAGTTTGACTTTTGAACTTATAAGTATTGTCTGAGCCCTGCTTGGTACTCACTGGTGGGGTTGCACTTTTTTAAGAATCGGGGTTCATTGGAGATTTTTTTTTTATTAAAAAAAGTGTCCAATCCGGGTTTCGAACCCAGGTCGTTGCTGTCAAAAACCAACAGGTTATACCAATCGTCCACCGATTACCAGACATAAAAGACTTTTGTTGTTGTTATAAGTGAAAGGAATGTTTCACTCCACTTTGGTACATTATCAGGACTCTCTCTCTCTCTTTAGATAACATCAGTGATTTGTGATTATGTTAAAAGAATGGCTGTGTAGCCTATATATAAAAGAGAGATAAAGGAAGCTACCAAGGGAACAGCGTACGTACCGCGTCCTGAGTGGGAGAAAAGTGACAAGATCGGGTGATGTCGGCCTTTTTTCGGTCTGGGGAATTCTTGCCTCCGTCCAGTTAGAGAAGATGGGATCTTACCTTATCTCTAGTACAGGTGGACATAATAGTCATGGTAGGTTGTAATTGACCCAGATTCCTGGAGCTACCACGTACTAAAGTCACAGCCAACTATCCGGGTTGAGACTTCAAGTCTAATAGTCGACATCCAGTTTATCAGATGTACTGTACTTGGTTCTGTAGGTCTTCAGGGGTAAACATTCCTAGGTGGGTGGCTGTTTGGAACCTATGAGACAGGTGAGACATCAGAAAAGAATTTGGTTGACAGTTTGATCTTTATCAGAACTGGTAGATCTTGTGGAATCACTCAAGCTTCCCATTGTACCGTGTGCCTTCAAAACCTTTCAGTTCTGAGGGATAAATCTGGTGAATTGACATAAATGAATAAGAAGCTGATTTCCCGCAGTTAACTCTTGATTACAGATAGGTATTAATGATTTTGACTTTTCTATATATCGGTCTATTTTACAGATTTTAGCCGATTTTTCCGTAATCAACAACGATAATCCAATTCCTTATCAAAACAATATTTTATATTTATGGAAAATGAGAGAGAGATCTTTAGATGAGAGGTGACGACTTTGATTGAAATTTGTATTTGAAATTAACAATTCTTTTTTTTTTTTAGCTTTATATATTGAATATAGAAGCTAACTGGAAGAAAAAAATTGTATCTACGTTTGAATATGTTGTGAGAAACAGAACAAACTGTAAAATAAGCATAAACAACCAAATAATTGATAAAATTAGAAATCCAAAATACCTATGTGTGATACTTGATGAGGAATTGTGATTTACAGAACACATAATTAGCACCTCGAGTAGAGCTACCAGAAAACTAAATATTCAGAAAAATCCATGTGGAACAAATTGGGGAACAAAACCTGGAACTCTCAGAACAACATATACCACCTTATTAAGACCAATAATGGAATACGCAACACCTGTCTGGGCTCCCTCAAGTTCATAGCTAAAAGGAAGACTAGACAGTGTTCAAGCAAAAGCGGCCAAAATAATCACTGGTGCTGTTTCATCCACTAACAATGAAAAAATTCAGAGAGAATGTGGCCTAGACATATACTTGAAAACAGAAGAAAATTAAAAACAATAAAATTCTCCAGTGTTTGTGTGGAGACATTTGAGGGTCTTCATTGGACATGACAACAACAACATCGGTAACGTTTGACAAGTCGAGAGAATTCCATCGGCAAATAATTTTTATCGCCATGTCACATATAAACCATTATTTCAGACCAAACACAAATCAGTGATGTTATTATAGACACGAGAACTTATAACAATTTGTTACTTAATTTAGATCAAACTGAACAACGAGCCTTCAAGCCAAAAAAGGCCTTCAAAAAAAGCCTATAATGGCTGTTAAGAAAAAGCTTTTTGACTTGAAAATTCGCCCAGTTTTATCTAAATAAACTCAAAAAATATCATTATAGGTTATCGTGAAGATAGAGCTGCCTGGCCGGCATTCATAGTTCTTCAAATTAAAGACATTTCGGCCAGTAAATCTTTTTTATTGTCTCGACGTTTCGAAAAAAAATCTTTTGTACTCGTCAGGAGCGTTTTTTTCGAAAACGATTTTTGTCGAAACAATAAAAAAGATTTACTGGCCGAAATGTCTTTAATTTGAAGAACCTTATAGATTAGTTCTCGTGTTGTTAAATAACATCAGTTATTTGTGATTATTTTAAAAGAACAGTTTGGTAGCCTATATATAAAAGAGATATAAAGGAAGCTACCAAGGGAACAGCGTACGTACCGTGTCCTGAATGGGAGAAAAGTGACAAGATCGGGTGATGTCGGCCGTTTTTACGGTCTGGAGAACTCTACTTACCTCCGTCCGTCCAGTTAGAGGAGTTTGTCATTTGTGAAAAGATTCCTTGTGAGGTCAGAGATTCACTAAATCTTCTCTGATTCATTGGCTGATGGGAAATATGTCTACTTTATCAAGCAAATGCTACAGGTTTCTGGAGAGGAGATTCTTTATCAAACGTAATCTCGAGTCCTCGGGCATCCCCGCCTCTCCACAGGAGTACATATGTACATATATACATGATAGAAACATATGTAGTAGGTAAATTTCAATATCAATTGATATGAATCTCCTGGGTATCAATCAAACAAATGCTACAGGTTTCTGGAGATGAGATTCTTTATCTTTATTGAACGTATTCTCGAGCTTACCAGTTCTACGGTATTGAAGGCAGAAGAAAAGTGAGAATGACCTCTTCTTAGCTGGCTGGAAAGAGTGAAGAACTTATCCTCTGAGTGTTTGTCGCTAACAAATCAAATTAGAAAGTTTTATCAATATAGTTACCAAAAGTTGATTTGATGGACACCAACAAAACGTTTTGAAGTTCAGCAGAAAACTGAGAATATCATTAAAAAATGAAAAATAAGTTACCTAGAAGACTGCAATATTTGTTGTTTCTCCATAAAGACTGTATTGCCGATTTATACACATGGACAAAACATAAGGAAATTGAAACCTTTAGCATGTATATCGGGATTCAGAAAATAACTCTGAAAGATATTACAGTGACCTTTATTGAAGACACACGAGATAACCAAGTGTGTATACACTCATGGACAAAACTTAAGAAAGTTGTACCTTTTAGCATATATATCGGGATTCAGACAATAACTCTGAAATATATTACAGTGACCTTTATTGAAGACACACGAGATAACCAAGTGTGTATACACTCATCGACAAAATTCAAGGAAGTTATACATTTTAGCATGTATATCGGGATTAAGACAATAATTCTGAAAGATATTACAGTAACCTTTATTGAAGATACACGATATAACCAAGTGTGTATACACTCATGGACAAAACTTAAGGAAGTTGTACCTTTTAGCACGTATATCGGGATTCAGACAATAATTTTGAAAGATATTACAGTGATATTTAATGAAGACACACGAGATAACCAAGTGTGTATACACTCATGGATAAAACTTAAGGAAGTTGTACCTTTTAGCATGTATATCGGGATTAAGACAATAATTATGAAAGATATTACAGTGACCTTTATTGAATACACACGAGATAACAAAGTACGAACAATATTTCATCTGTCTCCTTAAGAAAAATAGACGACCGGCGATATCAAAATATAAAACTCCCTCAAATTTTGTCCATGAGTGTACTTTTTCTACTTTTTACCATTTTTTTTGCTTTAATTCCATTATATAAGTATAGTACTTGTACTCAAGCAATACTTCAATTTATTCCTTCTGTCCTCAAAGCTTATGCCAATAACATTTTTTAATACTTTCACCTAGAATTCCATTTTAGTGCTGGTGGCCACATACCAGCAAAACAGTTAACTACAAAATTAGAGGGGAAACTAGCGCTACCGCTGTGAGTATTCACCATTGATGAGCCAGGCCCTCCCAGTATTTTATAAATGTAGTAAAGACAGTAGGAAATTGTTTTAACAAAAGAAGAAGCATACGCGCGCTAAAAAAAGTTTATAATTTGGAGTTGTTTGATTTGTTTATTTTCCATCTTGGACTCCGGGGCGAGGATATATAAAGCGAAATGTCTTAACAAAAGGCTTTTTAATTATCCTTTGTACACGTGGCCATGATAATCATGGTGGGTAGTGGGTGGTAGTTGGCGACCTTTTTTTTTTTTTTGACTATCTCTAGTACACGTGGTACAGGCCATGATAATAATGGTGGGTAGTTGGCGACTGCTTTTAATGTAAGTGCATTACATGTCTACATATGTGAAAAGCATTTCGACTTTGCATTTAAAAATATGCCAGAGCCCCGTTTGGTTACTTGCACTCGCTAATAGGGTTGGACTTTTTCAAGAATCGGGGGCCATTGGAGCATTTTTTTTTAATAATAAAAAAAAAAAAGTGCCCAATGCGGGAATCGAACCCAGGTCGTAAAGGTCGAAATACCAACGGTTTAGACGATCCTTCCACCGACCCCCATTTTACTTTTACTTTGTTTTTACTATACATATATGTAGACATGTATGTGCACCACATGTCTACATATGTAGAAAGCAGTTCGAATTTTGAACTTACAAATATGCTAGAGTGCCGTTTGATTACTTGAATTCACTTGTGGGTTGGTCTTTTTCGAGAATAGGAGGAAATTGGAGCAATTCATCTATTAGAAAAAATAGTGTCCAATTTGGTATTCGAACCCAGGTCGTTGCTGTCAAAAACAGAGAGTTTATACCAATCGGCCACCGATGACCAGCTATAAAAGACTTTTGTTGTTGTTATAAGTGAAAGGAATGTTTCAATCCACCTTGGTACATTATCAGGACTGGTATGTATATATAATATCATCCAAATATCTATATAATAATGAATTAAAATATTGCCACGTGGAAAATTAGGAAGACAAACTTCGAATGAGACAGCAATTTATTTAAGTCAAGAACAAACTATGAAGGATAAATAAAAAAAGATAAAGAATGAGGGAAATTTACAGAGTAGTAAAATATAAAATGAAAGGATTTAAAAGCACGAATGTTTCTTTTATACATAATACAAACTTCTACTGTCCTTACTGCGATGAAAAAATATATTGGGAGGGCTTGGCTCATCAGTGGTGAACCCTCCCAGCGGTTTCGCCAATTTAATTCACCAGACCGCTTCTCAGAGCTATAATACTGTATTGGTCGATTCTGCTTATATACGCAGCACTGAAGGATGGAATCTCAGAAATGGTTTTTAAGAAAACTATGAA